TGCGGCTATGACATACAACTATCTACTGGGGCTTTGGGGGGAAAAAATAAATAAATAAAATCTTTAAAAAAAAAAAAAAAGACTATATAACACAAGAGTGAACCCTAATGTAAACTGTGGACTTTGGGTTATAATGATGCGTCAGTGTAGGTTCATCAATTGTAATAAACGTACCACTCTGGTGGGAGGATGTTGATAATGAGGGAGGCTATGAATGTGTTGGGGCAGGGGGTATATAGGAAATCTCTACCTTCTCAATTTTGCTATGAACCTAAAACTGCTCTAAAAAATAGTCTATTAAAAAAAAAAAAACCAGAATGATGAGGCTACGTCAAAAGGACATGGGAGCCCGTGGGAACCAACTGAAAGGGCTCCCAATGGTCAAAACTGGAACAATTGGAGCAAGATAATATATAAAGTAGTATTGGATTATAATCCACTGTATAAAATAAATATTTATGAGTCCATACTGATATAAATAAATGATTGATTGAATAAATAAGTAAATGGAGGAGAATAAACAAATCTCCCGTGCAGAAGAATTCCAAATAATTTATGTAGATACTATGACCTCCACCTCAAGGTGGAGCATAACTCTGGATTCCTTAAATGTGGGCTTTGCATAGTGACTTCCTTTCAAAAAGTACAGTACGCAAAGCGGAAAAAAGAGTAACCTTATGGTGGAGAAACCTGACACACACTACCTCAGCCAGGTGGTCAAGGCCAACATCAAGAGTGATAAGTCGTGTTGACAGCATGTCCCCTTAGTGTGGAGTGATGGAAATGACACTTTTCCTCTGTGCTCTTCCTCCCCCAAACCCATAACCCCAGTCTAATCATGAGAAGAAACATCAGACAAATCCCAATTGAGAGACATTTTACAAAATACCTGATAAGTACTCCTCAAAACTGTCATGGTCATCAAAAACAATGAATGTCTGAGAAACTATCACATTGGTTCGTTAATCATGACAAATATACCATACCAATATAAGATGTTCGTAAAAGGGAAACTGAGTGGGGTATTTGGGAACTCTGTACTATCTTTGCAACTTTTGTGTAAAACTAAATATATTCTAAAAGAAAAAGTTTATTTAAAACTGCAGAACAATGTGAATAGTATGCGGGGGTTGGTGGGGGGGATGGTGAGAGACCTATACAGATATGCCTAACTGATTTTTTGTGTGTGTGTGAGGAAGATGAGTTCTGAGCTAACACCTGTTGCCAATCCTCCTCTTTTTTGCTGAGGAAGATTGGCCCTGGGCTAACATCCGTACCCATCTTCCTCTGCTTTATGTGGGACGCCTGCTACAGCGTGGCTTGATGAGTGTTGCGTAGGTCTGCACCTGGGATCCAAACCTGCGAACCCCAGGCCGCCAGAAGCAGAGCGCGGGAACTTAACCACTACACTATGGGGCTGGCCCCCACAACTGATTTTTTGACAATCGTGCAAAAGCAATTCAATGGAGGAAGGTTACATAGCCTTTTCAACAAATGGTGCTGGAGCAATTGCACATCAGCAGGCAGAAAAAGAGCCTCGAGGGGCCAGCCCGGTGGCGTAGTGGTTAAGTTCTTGTGCTCTGCTTCAGCAGCCCAGAGTTCACAGGTCTGGGTCCTGGGCGCAGACCTACACACCGCTCATCAAGCCATGCTGTGCCGGCATCCCATCTACAAAATAGAGGAAGATGGGCACAGGTGTTAGTTCAGGACCAATCTTCCTCAGCCAAAAAAAGAGCCTTGACTGAAACCTCACACCTTGTACAAAATTAACACAAAATGGATCATTGACTTAAATATAAAACTATAAAACTTTTAGAAAAAAACATAGGAGGAATATTTCAGGATCTAGGACTAGGCAAAGAGTTCTTAGACTTGACTCCAAAAATACGATCCTTGGAAGAAAAAAGTTGATAAATTGGACCTCATCAAATTAAAAATTTTTTGCTCTGCAAAAGATCCTTTTAAGAGAATAAAAAGACAAGCTACAGACCAAAAGAAAATATTTGCAAATCACATATCTTACAAAGTCTAGTGTCTAGAATATATAAAGAACTCCTCTCAAAGCTCAACAGTAAAAAAAAATCATTTAGAAAATGGGCAAAAGACATGAAGAAACATTTCGCTGAAGAGGATATACAGATGGCAAATAAGCACATGAAAAAGTGTTCAACATTATTAGCTGTTAGGGAAGTGCAAGTTAAAACCACAATGTGATATTAATACAATAACACCAAATGCTGTCAAGGGTGTGGAGAAACCGGATTACTCATATGTTGCTGGGAATGTAAAATGATAACAGCCACTCTGGAAAACAGTTTTGGAGTTGTTTATAAGACCTAACATGCAATTACCATATGACCCAGCAGTTGCAGTCTTGGGAATTTATCTCAGAGACATGAAAACTTATGTTCATACAAAAACCTGTACTTGAATGTTCATAGCAGCTTTTTCATAATAGCCCCAAACTGGAAACAACCCTGATGTCCTTCAAAAGGTGAATGTAAAACAAACTGTTGAATATCCATACTGTGGAATACAACTCAGCAATAAAAGGAAGAAACTATTGGTACATGCAACAACCTTGGGTGGATCTCCAGGGAATTATGTTGAGTGAAAAAAGCCAGTCCCAAAGGTTACATGTTGTATGGTTCCACTTATATAACATTCTTGAAATGACAAAATAGAAGTAGAGAACAGATTAGTGGTTGCTGGGGGATAGGAATGGGGATAGGGGCAGAGGAGGGAGGAGGGTGTGATTATAAAAGGATAACACAAGGGATCCTTGTGGTGATGGAACTGTTCTATAACTTGACTATGTAGTAGATACATAAACCTACACGTGATAAAATAGCAGAGAACTAAACACACCCACATACAAATGAGTACAAGTGAAACTGGGGAAATCTGAGTAAGGTGGTGGATATTATCAATGTCAGAGTCCTGGTTGGGATACGTACTATGGTTTGTAAGACGTTACCATTGGGGGAAACTGGGTAAGGATACACCAGATCTCTCTGTATTATTTCTTAACTGCATGTGAATCTACAGTGATCTCAAAATAAAAATTTAATTTAAAAAAAGTTTTGCTTGTATATACATTAAAAAAGTGTCTGGAAGGATACTTGTAAAAGCAGTGACAGAGGTCACCAGTGGGGCTGGGGGAGAACTGATGGGTGACAGGGGTGGGAAGAAGGCTTTTCATTAGATACCTTTTGTTCTTTTTGGTTCTTTTGGTTTTTATAAATAAAATATAAAACAATTAAAAGCAATACTTGCTCTCTTTCCACTCCACTTTCCCACCACATTCCCCCAGACCTGTTTCCAGGACGACCGAGGCCACTCTAGTGTATTTGGTTGTTGTATCTCAATAGTCTCCCTCTTCCTGGAGAGCCACCATTATAGCTCCAACAAGTCTCCAGGCTCATCTGCGTCGTGCATGTGAGTCAGTTTCCTTTGACCATTCACTCTCAGAACAGACCTTTTGGCCTGATTTTGATTTCACGCTTATCCGGCAATGTTCTGAGGACACAGTTGAAATTCTGTGGTAGTTTTACCTGGGTTTAAAATTTTTTCTAGATGTGTTTCAGAATATTTTTTGGCATTTATTGAAATTTGGGTTTGGGATTACATTAAACCTGTAAATAATATAAGAGAAAATGATCATCTTTATTTTATTTTTTCACTAGTAATTTCTTGCCATTTCTTTATGTCTTCTTTTATATCCCTCAGTGATGTTATATAGCTTTTGGTTTGCCTTTGTCATATCCTTTTCCGATTATAACTTTCATAGACTTTATATTTTTTAGCTGTCGTTGTGAATAGAATATATTTTTAAAATTAATATGTCGTTTCATGTAGGCATTCAATATAGGAATGCTATATTCCTAGACTTGGGTGTTTTTATCTTCTATATGACTTTTTTATTAATTCTACTAGGGTTTTTTTGGAGGTGGAGTTAATAACTATTTTAATCTGTCTAGAAATACAATCACATTGCCTACAAATAATGGTATTTTTAAAATTTTCTTTTCCAATATTGAGAAACCTTTTTTTTTCCTGGCCTAAACTAGTAATGGCAATAGTGGGCATTCTTCTTGTTGTTGTGTGTGTGTGTGTATTCTATTCTGTAACCTTTTTATATTCAATATGTGAGGATGTTTTTCCACAATAAGTATCGCTCTATACCATTGATTTTACTGGCTCTGTACTGTTCCTCAGTGTGTGTGTCACTGTATCACCTAGAGGGAGGGATGGTGTGGCACCATCTCCACTTTGTCATGGAGTCAGGGGTCACCAGGGACCATTGGGGTGGAGTCTTTCAGCCTTGAGGGAAGTGCAAGTTAAAACCACAATGAGATATTACTCATTGGAAAGTGAGGCCTTGGATGAGCGCTGGACTTGGAGTGAGATCTCTGTTCTGGTCCTGGCTGGCTCTCTCATTCATTCATTTCATACATAAATAGTTATCAGGCACCTACCTAGGTGCTGGGGGTAGAAAGTCTTATAATACAAGGTCTCTATTAGCTATATATCCTTGAGAAAGTCGCTTAAGTTTTCTGAACCTCAGAGTTTCTGTTTGTAAGATGAAAATACTAATAAGAAGACCATCCCTGTATACTTCCTAGGTGCATGTGTGAATTAAATGAGATGATAGAGAACATGAAGATGTTGTTGCTAGAAGGGCCCTTAGCAAACATCGCTTGCCAGATAGAGTAGCAGAGAAAGGAAATGATTTGCCTGAAGTCACATAGTGAGTTCCTGGCATAGCGAGGTCTCAAACTTGACTCTTCAGGCCCCTGCCCACCTTGAGGATCAGTTTTGGCCTCTAGGGATTCAGGCTTTGGGGCTATAAATGCCTCAGGCTACCCATGTTGTCTGAGAAGCCAGAGGGCCAAACCCAGAAGCACTATACCCCTCGCTCCTCCCATCCTCCAGCACCAGCCTGCAGCGGGGCAGTCCTGAGACGGACCCATCAATTGATCCTGTGTCTCCCCCCTTAGCAGGGCGCCTCTCCTATGCACCTCGCTGTGAGACACAATTTTCCTGGCCTGGTGCAGCTTCTCATTGATGCCGGCAGTGACCTGGATGCCACCGACAATGTAAGTGGCTGCAGAAATCATCTGGGCCCCAGGGAGCCTCAGGGCACCCTCCCTCTGGCAGGGCTTGGCCACAGTCTCCTAGCACGGCTCAGAGTTGAGAAATTGTATTTTTAGCTTGTAAAAAGCCATTTAAATATTTGTTGAGGGTGGCATCATTTTATTAACCATTCCCCTGTTTTAAACATTTTGGTTGTTTCCAAGTTTTTGCCATGATATATGTAACTCTGCAGTAAACATCTTCCTACATTCAACCTTTTCCTTTCATTGATTTTTTTTTTTCCTTAAGGAAAATTCCCGGGGCAGGGTGACTGGGGCAGTCTTGTGTAACAAGAGGCCTCCTAGTTCTGAAGTTGTGATCCGTCGGGAGCCCTTTTAAATCCCTGTCCCCACAATCCACCCCACAGCCATATAGTACACAGTGCCAGCACACACCACCACGAGTGGTGGAAAGCAGTTTGGCAGGATATATCATATACCTTTAAAATGATCAGTATCGGTACTTCTGAGAATTGAGCCTCAAGAAACACATATAAAGCCCAGGCGCAAAGATATTTATTGCAGCATTGTTTATCAGTCTTCAATTTGAAAATGACCCAAATATTTAATAATGGAGAAGTAGTTAGGTAAATTACAGTATAGACATAGACTATTGTGGAGCTATTAAAAATGGTTTTTATCAGAGTTTATAATATGTGGAAAGTGTTATGAAATGTAGAAAAATAGATGCAAAATGTATATATACAGAATGATCTCAAATATGTAAAACCAACAAAGAACATTCTGCATTAAAGAAAAGACTAGAAGAAACGAGGATCATTATGGAGGTTGACTTAGGTAGGCTACTAAGTGGTATTTTTTTGTTCTTTGCACTTTTTTGTTTTTACCAAGTTTTCTCTGGTGAGTATTATGTTTACGATTAAACCCAGCTTACCCCTCCCCCATAACATCTTAGAGAAACTTTGTCAAGCCCAGTTGGGAATATACCCACCTTGGTCCTGTACTGGCTTTGAGCCATGGACCACCTCTACATGCTTTTCTGCTCTCCCGTCTCCTTGGCTTCTTCTGCAGAGGCAGCAGACACCCCTCCACCTTGCCGCTGAGCACGCCTGGCAGGACATAGCAGAAATGCTCCTCATCGCTGGGGTCAACTTACACCTGAGAGATAAGGTACCTCTGCTCACCACCAACCTCTCTTTCAAGTTTTCATGGCTCCCTCTTTGCCAGAGATCCTGCTCCAAATGCCTCCTACTCTTAGAATGTTCAAGGCCTCCCATCCTTTATATACCAACTCAAATGCAGCCTCCTCCAGGAAGCCTTCCTGCCCCTCTACCCCCTTCCCCTGCCTCCTCTGAGGTCCCTCAACACTTTCCCACCCCTCTCCTGGTCTAGGCCTGTGGTATGGTTGTCTTCTGTTTCATGGTCCCCTTCAGACTTTGAGCTCCTTGAGTCATTTGGTGGGGAAAGGGGAGAGGGAATGGAGGAGCAGCACATTGCCACCCCCCAACTCCCTACTTCTGGGAGAGGGGAAGCTTCCCTGATCATTGTGCCTCTGGGGTGGCTACCTCCCCAGGTGTGGAGGTCCGAGAAGTGTAAGGACTTGGTATGAGGCTGAGGAGGTCACAGGCTCACGAGATGGAGGGTGCTTGCACACGTGGCCCAGCAAGGCCAGCCCTTGGGATGGTGTGGGGAAGAGTTGGCGGCAGGGAATAGGCCTTGAGGTTGGACCTGGGAGGGGCTCCCTGCTTTGAGCTGGGCCCCAGGGCAGCTGGCCAAATGCAAAGAGGAGCTTCCCATCTCCCCGCAGGTCCCTGGGAGCAGTTGAGACTGGCACTGTGCAGGAGGCCTGGAGCAAAGGGCTGAGAGCCCAGGGGAGGGGAGCACTGGTTTCACCTGAGAAATAGGGCTGGTAACACCTATTTCACAGGTGGTGTTGAAGAGTTATGTGAGCTGAGTTTCATAAGCTCTAAGGCTTCCTAAATTCTAAAGAAACACACAAGGTGGTTGCTAGAATTATTATTATTGTCTTATTCTACCTGTGACTATTCCACATCCCTCCATATGCCCAGGAAGCCTTTCTGCTCTCCAGAGTAGACCTCAGGAAATCACTTTCTTTGGTTAGGAGGGTTTGAAGTCAGTGCTAGAGGCTACCCCACACCCCTCCTGTAGAAACTTGGGCTTCTCCCCCTTCCTTCTTCTTGCTTGCAGCAAGGAAAAACCGCCCTGGCAGTGGCCGCCCGCAGCAACCACATCAGCCTGGTGGACATGATCATAAAAGCTGATCGTTTCTACAGATGGGAGAAGGTATTGAGACCCTGCGCTTGGTCTCTCCATGTTGGAAAGGGAGTGGCCTTGGCTCCAGGTGGAACTGGCTATGAACCCCAGCCCTGACCAATTCAGGGGCCGCTCAGTTTCCAAGGGGCTGATAATCCCTACCTTACCTACAACCAGGGTGTTTTTGAGCACCTGGAGATGGGTGAGCATCCAAACCACACCGAAACAAGGCCACCTGAGTTCCATGTCAGTGCGGGGGTTCCACTGGACACTGCTCTTGCTCCTGGTTGATGGATGAATGAATGCATGCGTGCATGGGTGAATAAAGAGATGGCCAGTTGGTTCCATCTCACTGCCCTCTGCAGGTGATTGGAATGGCTGCTTGGGGTGTTGTGTTCAGGCAACTTTCTCAGCCCAGGAGGAAAGTGTGCTGGGATTGATTAGTGATGTCTGCTGTGGAGTTGGGAAAGAGGAGTGGCAGAATGTAAGGCCTGGCGTTTGCTGATCCAGTTGTCAGCAGTTGGGGGTGGGGTGGGGAGTTTTATGGTGTCTTTGAGGGTTTTTTTCATACACAGAAAATAATTTTTGCTTTTACTTCAGTTTTTTTGTGTGTGTGTGAGGAAGATCAGCTGTGGGCTAACATCTGCCAATCCTCCTCTTTTTTTGCTGAGGAAGACTGGCCCTGGGCTAACATCCGTGCCCATCTTCCTCCACTTTACATGGGACGCCATTACAGCATGGCTTGCCAAGCAGTGTGTCGGTGTGCACCCGGGATCCGAACCGGCAAACCCCGGGCCGCTGCAGCGGAGCGCTCGCACTTAACCACTTGTGCCACCGGGCCGGCCCACATTTATTTCAGTTTTAAAAATCAATATTAAATTTATTAAATTACAAATTTAAAAACCTAGTTTTCCTTAAACTTTTAAATTCATTTTATGAATCTTATTCTATTTATACATCTAGTGAATTTTAACAGTCACTTTCAAGGAAGCCTTTTGATTAATGTTTGGTCCCATGTTTAAACTTGGTTAACTAAACTACCTTAAACATTTTAAACAAATTGAAGTTTAATATGATAGATTTTTAAAAGCACTTCAAATGTTTCCTAAATTCTTAAATTATCCTAGTAAATCCAATAAATTAAACTCATAAAGTGAATCTCAAATATCTGAAACATTCCAGTATTGTTTACAAATTTAGTAAACTTCTTACACCTCTCAAATAAAAAAATCACTATTCCAAAACCAATCAATAACACATTTCCATTGGAATTTTTAAAGATATTCTCTTTCATTGATATGCTAGATTCTTGCAAACATTATAACCCCTTATCATATGACAGATTACTCCTAAATGTAACCCCAAAATGCTAACATCAAGGGTTTGATGAATTGATTCATCTCTGTGCCTAATTCTAAACCACCTCAGGCTTTAGAATTCTCAACACTAAGGCAGCAGTGCACGTTAGAATCACAAATCCCCCTCAATACCCCAAATCAATCAGATTCTGCTTGAATTGGTGAGGGCCAAGCATCAGTAGTTCTTCACGCTGCCAGATGATCCCAATGTATAGACTCAGCTGAGAACACTGCTCTAGGGAAACGGTTTTTACCACCCAGATGAGAGCCGCGCCCCCAGGTCATCACTCACAGGTGACTGGCCAGACGCTGTTGACCAGGATGTAAGATTCAGAGCTTCAGCCCCCATGGTGATTTTTCTCACTCTGAGCTTTTTAACAACCAGAACTCTGCATCCACTTTCTTTAGAGGGGCTTACTTAGGCTTTTGTGGGTTTAATTTATGCTATCACGTAATTCTTTTGTAACCTCTCATTTTATCACCTGGTTTGCATAGAAAGAATTCTGTAGCCCCACCCTTCACTGCTTGTTGGGATTCAGCATCCCAGTGCCTGATTCTTGCTTGCCTGATTTTAGCCACAGCTTCTGAGTCATTCTACTGACACCCATGCTATAAGAAGACAGAGAAAAGAGAGGAATTGGGAAGGCTTCCTGGAATAGGTGGCATGTGGGTGGTCTTTTGACTGTGGCAATGGGGTTAAGGACAGGAAGGTGAGAAAAGGAATACCGGATGGAGGAACAGTGTGAGCAGCTTGGGTTCCAGAGGTCATGGCAAGGCATAGAGTAGTGGACACTAAGCCCCAGGCCTGTGATGACGCCAGTTCCGGGTCCAGGCTCACAAGGGAGAGCCTGGCAGGAATTTCCCCCAGATAGCTGCTGCACTTTTGGGATCTGCCCCACAGGACCACCTCTCATGCAGGGACCCCAGTGACCCCTCTGGGAAGAGCTTGACCTTTAAGCAGGACCATCGGCAGGAAACACAGCAGCTCCGCTCGGTGCTGTGGCGACTGGCCTCCAGGTACCTGCGGCCCCATGAGTGGAAGAAGCTCGCATATTGCTGGGAGTTCACCGAGGCCCACATCCATGCCATCGAGCAACAGTGGACAGGTACCACCTTGCCTCTGCTACCCCAGAGCAACCAAAGGGCGGAGGAGTGGGGGCACTTGAGGTGGGTTCAGTTTTCTGTGCTTCTGGGGAAAAAGCCTGTGCAACCGACAGCCAAGCCACACCAAACCACATGCTGTTTCCAACACACCACAAGCTCTTTCACTCTTCCAGGCCTTTGCGCAGGCTGTGCCCTCTGCCTCTCCCTCCCCACTGACCTGTGAACTTCACATTCTTCCTGAATCAGCCAGAGCTGATACCCATTGTTCACACACTAAACTAAAGCCATTCCCTGTAAAAAGGAGAGGAGCTGCTCTTGCCCCTGTTATTTATCATCTTTTTGGAAATTTTGGCCCTGCTACTAAGGCATGAAACAGAAATAGAAATCAGGAGTGTAAATATTGGAAAGCAAGAGAGAGATTTATTAATTTCAGATGCTATAATTATATGCATAGAAAGTCCAGAAGAATCGTGAAAAACTCTTAGAATAAAATAATTCAATTAGGGGCCGGCCTGGTGGCATAGCGGTTAAGTTCTTGCTCTGCTTCGGTGGCCCAGGGTTCGCAGGTTCTGATCCTGGGCGCGGACCAATGCACCGCTTGTCATGACATGCTGTGGCAGCGTCCCACATAAAAAAAAGTAGAGGAAGATGGGCACGGGTGTTAGCCCAGCGCCAACCTTCCTCAGCAAAAAGAGGAGGATTGGCATCGGATGTTAGCTCAGAGCTAATCTTCCTCACAAAGAAAAAAAAATTTCAATGAAATGGTTAAATATATGATAAAATATACAGACACCATAGTATACCTATGTCCCATCAATAAGTGGGCAAAATATGTAAAGATATTTTTAAAAAGATATTCCATTTATAATAGTTTCATCTGGAAAATCTTAGACAAATATGAATGACACATATGAGTAAAACAAAAATTAGTTGAACTATAAAAGAACACTTTGGTAAGTGGGATGACATTCTGTATTCCCAGCTTGAAAAAGTATAATGTAGATATTGATCTTTCCCAAATTAGATTAAAACTTTGATCCAATTTTAATCAAATGAAAATAGGAGGTTTTTGAAACTTGACTAAAGGATTCTACAGTTCATCTGAAAGAATAAACAGGGATTATAACTATACTAATTATATATTATAATAAATGAATATTCTGGGGGACAAAAGTGAAGAGGGTCTAACCCAACCAGACTTAACCGTTTATAAAGGTAAAATAATTAACAGAGACAGATATCTGACACGACAATGTGCATATCGCTTGGTGGTATAGAGCAGGGAGTCCACAAGTGAGCTCTGTTACAGATAAGAACTTTCAAGGGTGATAGAGGAGCACTTGCATATTACAGCGCTGAGGGCGAGGGCTAATGAATAAGTGGTGTTGAGACAGCTGGGTCAAATGAAACTGCCACACCAAGGGCAGCACTGAGGAAGCCCCTGCTGAGGGCCCGAGAGGACCAGAAGGTCAGAGGAGCAGTGGACAGCCTGACCTGGCCCCGACGGCTGTGCCTGAGCGTGTGTGTCTGCAGCTGGGAGAGCAGACCTGGTCCGAGTTTAGCAGGTTAACCACACACCAGCACTGAAGGGGGTAGGCACTTATTTTCCAAACATGCTTGTCCGTTGGAATCACCTGGGAAGCTCAGTACCTAGGCTGTACCCAGACCCAAGTACGTTGGACTCTCTGCGGGGGGGGGGGGGGGGGGGCGGAGTGGGGGGACCCAGGTGTCAGTATTTGCTAAAGCTTCCCAGGTGTTTCCAGTGAGCACTTAACTGTTGAGAACCACTGGTGCAGGGGGAAGAATGTGGCCAGCTCTGTCTCAGTTTTCTCATCCGTAAAATAGGGCTACCTGCAAGCAAGGCACAGATTTTGTAGGCGGCCAAAGAAATGAAATGTACAGCTGTGTGCATCGTGGTACCACAACGAATGCCAGTGCTTTCTCTCTTCAGAGTGACACCAACAGGATGTATGGTGGATGCTCTGGAGAAAGCCTGGGCCTGGGGAGGTTCTAGGGTCCCTGACACAAAACCCCTGTCCCCACCCCATCTGAGGCTGCTCTTCCCCTCGCCCTCCCCATCTCTGGGCTGAGCTCCACTGGAGCACACAGAAAGGCCTGGTGTTCAGGAGGCTGTACCGGGCGGCATAGACACATGCTCAGACCTGGCTCTGGTGAGGCAGGCCAAGTTGGCTCCTTCTCCCTCTTTCTCCTCTCATGGTCCTCAGGCACCAAGAGCTACCGGGAGCACAGCCACCGGATGCTGCTCATCTGGCTGCATGGCATGACCACGGCCAGCGAGAACCCCAGCAAAGTGCTGTTCGAGGGCCTCGTGGCCATTGGCAGGAGGGACCTAGCTGGTAAGAGCGTCCTCTGCCCAGCTCCTGCTCAGGGCAGGGCCGGGCCCCAGAATCAGAGCTGCATGGCCCCACTGGAATGCAGCAGGGCCCTGCAAGGGCTGCTCAGACCACAATGCTAAGATGCTGGCTCTCAACCTTCCAGATTCCTGGTCTTGGCCCTACCTTCTTCTGGAACTCAGGTGGAGTCTTGGGCAAATCACAGTGCCTCCTGGCTCTGGTTTCCCCACCTGTGCAGTGCGGGTACTGGCCCAGATGATCCCTATGATCTTCATAGCCCCAAAGCCACTGATGTTATCATCTCTTTCTCTCCAGCCCTCTATACTTTGATTTTTTTTTTTTCTAGTTTGAAATAAGGCTGGAACAGCCTGCAGACTTCTTTTTCACAGACATTTAAGACATATGGGCCAGAACTGGCTTAATGTGAGTTGAACGAGTCAGATCTGGTCAAATAAAAATTCTGAGGCCATCGCAACCTATTTGTTGGTTGATCCCAAAAGCCTGGTTTGGAATTTAGGGCATCCTGTGGAACCATCAGGCAAGTGGGATAAAAGGTTCTAGGGCTAATCCCTCATTGAAAAGAAGAGCAGCTCATGATGACAAAGCTTTAAACACCATCACGTCCATTGGCAGGGTGCATTACAGGGTGACCACAGCATGGGGTATTAGGCAGTCACCGATGGTAACTGTATTAGTCATGCGGCAACAGGAAAAACACTGATAGCTTGTAATTGAGGGGAGAAAGGAAAGCCCCCAGCATGGTGGTGATCTTGCCTGCGGCTGCTGTGAAAAAACAAAGTCATTTCAGGGTGGAGGAATTGGGGATGACTTTTTTCTTTTTCCAAAATGTTCTTAAATATTATTGTTCCATCTTCTTTTAACACAAGCTCTGGCAGGCAATTAAAACCTAAAACCAGCCCTGTGAGGCAGAGCTTAGGCAACATGAGGCTATAGGATTCTTGTCTTTTGCAGAAAGCATCAGGAAGAAAGCAAATGCAGACCCCAGTGCCCCCAGGAGGTGTACAGCCATGTAACTGGAGGGGCCAGACCTTCAGGCGCATGGGACCTCAGAATGGACAGAATGGCCAGACCTCAGACTGAACAAAAGAGGACCACCATTTAAGGGCTTTTTAAAAATCATCGTTAACAGACCTCCAGCTGCTTCTACTCAAATGCAGTCATGCAGGACCAGCAGGCAAATGTTTGTCATCTTTTTCACAAGGATTGCTCCAGGGGCCTGTGTCAGGTTTTGCGGGTAATCCCTGCCCAGAGGTATGGTCTTTTGCAGCTCTCAGATCATTTTCATCTCCATTATCTCCTCGGAGCCTCACGGTAGTCCCCTGAGATGCAAGGGGCATCTTTTCAGAGAGGACACGGGGGCTCTGGATGGATAAGCAGCTAATCAGGTGGTGGGTCAGGTGCCAAACTCAGCATTCCTGTCTCCCCAACCTGGGGAAAGGGCTCCATCCATCATTTACAGAATGGACCGCCCTTAACTCATTCACTAGCTTTTATGAATACTGCGCTTACTCCGCAGCTGTTTCTGTTCACAAGCTTAGCTGTACGCTTGGACAGTTCCAGGAGGCACACACTCTCATTTTTCCCTCTTGTTTTATAATTTTTTAAAGTTTTAAAACTTTTTATTTTGAAATTATTTCAGACTTACCAAAAAGTTGCAGAAATATACGAAGAATTTCCGAATACTTTTCACAATACAGCTTCCCCCAATATTAACATCTTACTTAACCACAACATAATTTTCAAAACCAGAAAATTAACACGGATGCAATACTAACTCATCTTCAGACCTTATTCAAATTTTGTCACTTGAGCCATTCCTGTCCTTTGTCTGGACCAGGATCCAGTCCAGGATCACACCTTGCATTAAGTTGTCATCCTTCTCATTTTTAATAGAACCATACAACGAGTCACCTCTCTGGAGCAGCACTATCCAGTAGAACTTTTTGTGGTGATGGGAATGTTCCAGATCTGTGCTTTCCAATATGTTTGCCACTAGCCACCTGTGGCTATTGAGCACGTGGAATGTGGCTAGTGGGACTGAGAAACTGAGCTTTTAATTTAATTTAATTTAAATCATTTGACATTTACATAGGCACCTGTGGCAAGTGACAACTGTGTTGGACGGCACAGCTGGTCTGGAGCTTCGATTTTGGGTGCTGGCAAGTACAGGTTGTTGTGAGGCTCGGCCACACCAGCAGGAGAGTGTGGTTCCAGGGAAGCGTGACTCTGGAAGCCTGATGGTTTCACAGAAGGTGGAGAATATCCACGCAGGGTGGCCTGGAAGTTCTGCCTGAGAGCTGTTTTTATCTAATTTGAGCTCTCTTGCATGTGGCACAGCTGGCTGTGGCCAGTTTAGGAGCCCGTATCTTAGAAAAACTCCCCACCAAGTTACCCACTGGGCCTGAGTCCTGGAAGGAGATAGAATAAAAACCGCTAGAGCTGAAAGAGCTGAAAGGGGCTTCAGCTCCCACACATGGCTGGTGGGAGTTCACAATCCTTTGGAAGGCAATTTGGCGTCATCTACCAAAATTACAAATACATTTACCCTTTGACCAAAGAAATCCCATGTCTAGGAATTTATCCTACAGATAAACCTGCAAACATTGTACTAACACTAGATCAAGATAAGACAGGAGAAACTGCTGTGGAGAGGGGTGTATGGGAACTCTGTCCTATCTGCTCAGTTTTTTTAAACTCCTTTTAAAAATAAAGTCTATTAATTAAAAAAACAACACACAAAAACTAAAACTTAGGGGAAAAAAAAGAAGCTTTGAAATCAACCCATTTTACGGGCAATAACCTCATGATCTGAGAAGCGTGTCTTGCCTGAGGCCTCACAGTTCGCATTGGGTTCAGACCGCCGTTCGGCACTCGGCCTCCGTGCCATGGGGTCCCTTCTTCTGCATGTGCTGTGTTGGGGGGAACCCTCCTCTTCCATCTATTCCATTTGAGAAAGGTATTTTGTACCACATGGGACTTCGATCATTTATCTGGATGAATTTTGCAAAGTGAATTTTGTATTTTTTTTGAAACAAAAAAGCAAGTTCTTAAGTGAAATAAAATTGAAATGTTGAAATATATCTCTCAAATTCAATACTCATTTCTTTTTTTGGGATATCTATGGCATAATTTCAAATCAGACAATCTGTTGTGGATTGGTTCTGTGTAACCACAACCACTCAACTCACCACCACCCGTCAATATTTACTGAGTGCCAGGCAGTCTGCTGAGAGCCGGGGTGCTGAGCTGAGTAACCCATGGTTCCTGGCCTCCAGAAGCTTGTGGTGGAGAGGGGACAGGGGACCAATAATGTAACAATGCAGCTGGTGCTGTAATGGGTGTGTGCAGAGAACTATGGGATTTATTCTTCCTTGGGGAAGGTAAGGGGGAGGAAAGTCTGAGAAGCTCACAGAGAAGACAGAAGGAGAGAAAGCACATTCCAAGTAAAAAGCAGTCTACACAATGGCACAGAGGGGTGGAGACGTCTCTAGTTGGGGAATGGTGTGGCTGGAAAACAGGAAGCATGGAAGGAAGAGGAGAGATGAGCTGGAGGGGCAGGAGGGCTGTGAGGGTCCTGGTGTGCAGAGGGGCTTGGCCATTTCAGCCCTCCATGAGACTATGCCAACGGGCACTACTAGCTCCAGAGCTTCCTCCCGGTTAGCCGGTGCTCGGTCGGGCCTGCATCATAGCTCAACTTCTCCCTCTGCCCAATCCATCTTCCTTTCACAACCTTCCTTCCTTTGATCCTTAATAAACATCTTGCACCCAAAGTTTCATCTCAGATCTGCCTCAGCCTGAGACATGGCAGTGGAGAGGTCGGGGTGGGGGTCCAAGATGTCTGGGGAATCTGAGGAACAGTGATGCTAGAAACTGAGATGATAGGGTTTAGGAGAGAAGGGACAGGTTTGGGCAGTGGGGACATGGGTGTGGCTTTTGCCAGGTAGAGTCTGGGGTGCCTGTAGAAGGCTGGCCTAATAGATAGGCCTGAACAGGCATTCAAGGCCAGCACTCACCATCAGTCAGAGCTGGAAATGGCAGTCATCAGGGTGTAGAGCCAGGGAGTAAAGTTGTTAGGGGGCGTGGCTCACACAGGGAGAATTCGAAAAGAAAGTGGAGGGCAGTCCCAGGGTTCGCTATTACACCAGGTGAGGCGGGGGCCACTGACCACGTGTGGCACGGCCCTACCCACAGGAACTCCGTTAGCTGGAAAGTCAGGACACACACAGTGAAACTACAGCAGCCTCAAGGAAGCCTCAGTGCTAACAGTCAAAAATGTCAAGCCCTACCTTCATGGTTTACCAAGTGCTTCCATAACTTGTGACAGTTGTCAAGTCACAAGGTAGTCAGAGAAGACAGTGGCCTTTGTGGAAAGATCACTGGCTTTAGGGACAGTCAGACCCAAGTTGGCATCCCAGCTCCACCCTTTACTGTGTGATGCTGAGCAAGTCTCTTGACCTCTCCCTCTGTGACCTCACCTGTGACATCGGTTTTCAGGGTCGTGGTGGGGATAAAATCTGAAAAAGTATGGTGAACTCAATATCCTGAAAACTTACAGGGAAAGAAGCATCGATGCTGAGTTTCTTGTCTAAATTGTACCTCAGAGAAACCAAACAGTTGACGAGGGAAAGTTGTGTTTTGTTTTTTAATCAGCAAACTCCAGTTAATAAATGCAGAAGGAATGATAAAAATTAAGAGTATTGTCACTGCAATACTATTGACAATACTATGCAAGAGTATTGTCACTGCAACCCCTAATGAAAGGATGCATTTGTGCAGTGATGAGCAGTGGCAGCCAAACCATCAGGGGAATTTTCCCATGACCACCTCAAGCTGACAGCACCTGAACCCAATGAGCAACCTTAACAACTAAGAGACAACCAGACGTTATGTGCCTCCCGAGGTGACACAACGGGAAACACACAGCTCCACCTATGAAGTGTTCCTGCCAAAAAGACCGAGCTTGAACCTGATCAAACCTCTAGATGTAACTACCAGTTTACTGGAAATACCTGGGACGGAGAAACAAGTTAAAGGACGTCTCGAGGCTGTAATCAGCCAAATCCAGACTGTGGGGAATACTATAGGGCGTATGAGCCTGTTTCTTCAACAAATAAATGGCAAGAAAAAAAAAGAGGGAGGAGGAACTTACAGTTTAAAAGAGACTTAAGAGGCATTTCAATCAAATACAAAGTATGAACTTTGTATGGAAGCTGATTAGAACAACTATAAAGGACATTTGTGAGATAATCATGAATGGGAACACTGACTGGACATTAGATGATATGAAGCAATTAGTGGTGAATTTTTAAGTGTGATGATGGTGTTACGGTTATTTTTATCTCTTGAAGGTACCTATAAAAACATTTACAGATGAAATGATATGGTATCAGAAATTGCTTTAAAATAATCCAGTGATGGGAGTATGTGTGGAAGAAGTGAGGGTGGGGTATGAGATGAAACAAGACCGTCCATGAGTTGGTAATTTCTGAAGCTAGGTAGTGGGGACATAGTTCATTATACTATTTTCTCTACTTTATGTGTGTTTAAAATTTTCCTGAGGACGAAAAAAGAAGGTATGAAAAGTACCAGGCACATAGTAGCAGCTCAATAAATGATAGCTACTGTTATTTTACAATAAGCAAACTGCGCTTTAGAGAGATTAAGTAACTGACCTAAAGTCACAGCGAATTGGCAAACACCACCATGGTCTGCTTCTCAGAAAGTCCTATATCTGTGTAGCCCAGTTGGGCAGCTACAATAATCACAAAAGCCACTCACTGAAATTGAATTTTTATTCCAAATGACTGTAATGGCTAGAAAGAAAACAGCTAAAACTGAAAACGATTTGCTTAACTGGAAATTAGAAGTAGTTGATTTTCAGGAGAGCAAACGGTGGGGTGACAGCCTTGGCACTCTGATAATGGTTATAACCAAGAAAGCAGAACAATAACCAACGTCCTTCTGATACACAATCTGGATGTGCAGCATTTACAGCAAATAACATAAAAAGAAAGAAAGGAAGAGAGCAAAGAAAAGGAAAAAAACCCCACAAAATCCCAAACCTCAGAAATTAACATTCACTTAAGAACACAGTGGTGAAGACTTCTGGTAGCAAAATTTTCACAATTCTTAAAATGGGAGTCTTCAAAAGTACTTCTTTAACTTCAAAAGCTAAAAAAACTGAAGAGGGAACAGTTACACTGGCTTA